GTTTGTCTGTCTGTGTATGTCTGTGCGTGCCGTGGTGGCTGGTCAGATGCCGATGCCAAGGTTCCAAGGCTTCGATCTGATTGGGCGATTGGTCAATGCCAAGCGGGCATCGTGACTGCAACAGCTGTATGAGACTGAGACTCATCCGACATGTCACCTATGCGATGCTCATGTTTTTCCAGCGCGGCACCAACCAAGAGCACAGCCAGTCACTGTGGGCTGATGTTAGCAGGCTGCGACTAAGTAATTATCACAGTGTCGTCTCAGTCTCAGGACTTGCGCCGAGTCTTCCGCCGCATCTCAGAGCCTAGCCAGAAAATGAAAACGACGCGAGTAGGGAAGGCTTCGTCGTAAGTATATGTTTTGTTGGAGGGGCATTTGATTCCAGTTCTGGCCATTAGATTTGCTTTCAACGATTTGACTGGCCATTTGTCGCCGGGGATGTTTCTCTCAGGATCACGTCTTGCTCATGGCCCAGCATCACAAGACGACTCCCGTAGCCGATGCTGCGGAGCTTTTGTTGGAGGCCCTGAACTGAGGCCAGCTGATGGTACAGAAGTGTCAAGTAGTTGGAGGCCTGCGACTAAACGGTAAGTTTGTTTTTCTTTTGTCTTTTTTTTCGGGTACGCTTTCAGAGAAGCGTGAATGTGCTTCATGTGCTTTGTAGGTATAGGCTCTTTATTCTGGAAGGCCCATGCAGATGGTGCAAAGAAATTCAGGACATGCGTAGGATTCATGGACTTCGGCCAGCACACGGACTTCAATGGGTCATTGCAGGACTTCACTCTCAGGATCCTAGCTAGAGCACTTCAGGCTCCTGTTGATCCCATGAAATGCATTTTCCTGGCATTTGTCAGGCAAATAAGACCTGCAGCGACTATTCCACACACGCATCCTAAACTTGCCTGGACACGCAGAACTTGTGATTTGGCTGATGAAGTGCAAAGGGCTTGACAAGCTGACACATATGCCGAACCTAGTCATGGATAATCGACTCCGTGAGCTGGAACTGTTCTACATTGAGTAGAAGCAAATCTGTGAGACAAGTTGCAAGACGCCCTTGTGCTGGCAGCGCCTGTGATGTAGGGTGGCACGAGTGTGCAGGGCTGGCGTCCGCAAGCCGGATGGATCCTTTGGGATGGGGTATGTTGCTGGCAAACTTGAGAGGTTCAGAGCATATAGGAGCAGGGTTACCGAATCTTTGTCTAAACTCATGTGCAGTTGGGGCAGAAATCCTGAAGCCTCGCCACGTAACTCGCTACCCCGTTTACAGATGCTAGCTTGTGCAAGCATTGTTAGCCTTGGTGCTGCGGACGCCTTGCATGGTACCCTTCTCAAAGGGAAGGGTTCGAATTAGAGCAGACTCTGCCTGTCGGAGCGACCGCGGCCTTGGAAGTGCTCACAAAAGTGCCTAAGCCATCGCTGCAGAGCTTCAAGTCTCAGCCGCTTGTTGCCCGAAACCACCTCCTTAAGGGGGAAGTTCGAGCAAGCTTTCACCAGCTCGCGCACGCCCACAGTCTTCCAGGTGAGTCGGGCTCCAATTCAAGCCAGAGATCTTAAACGCGCTTGCTCCAGAATGCAAGGGAGAGCTAGACCTGCAAAAGATCCAGGGTAAGTACCTCCAAGCCTTCAAACACATGCATGGCAGAACTGCGCTGACATGCTCCCTTTCTGTGCTTCCTTGGGCCTTGACTCGCAGCAATTATCCAGGTGCCGCTGCACAAGCATGCTAGGACATGCCAGGAGTGAGAAGCCAGTTGGCAAGTTTGCTTGCAGACGTCTGCATTGACATGGCAGGCTGGCGCAGGTGCCCTCCTTAAAGCTCAGAGAAGATCTGTCTGTGCAATTTAGCCGAAGGATTTGAAAGCAGGATGTGCCTGACACTATAATATGATAGGGTATATAATGGGGCTGTATAGGGATAATGGAAAATAGAATGGAAACTACTATATTACTATAGGGTACACTATTTATAGTAGTTTTAATTTTCTTTTCCATTATCCCTATATAGCCCCATTATAACCCTACTACTAATATTACCCCAATGGTTGAGTGTAGGAGCCAAAACTGACTACGGCCACCATTGCCAACTTGGGCCGAAGTCGGCAGACTTCAACTGTTCTCCGCTTGCCCTTCGGCTTGTGCAGGGCATTGGGGGGGGGGGAGGGGATTAGGGGTCTACGGGTTTAGGGTCCCTGGGGAGTGAAGGGTATCATTGCCAAGGCTTGCTGAACTTCAACAACTTCGTAGTGCCCCGACTCCTTCAGACGCATCTGATCTCTGGCAGCTGTTCGCGTTGTGAGCTCTTGAAGCGAGACAAGTGTCAGCTCAGGCGATATTAACCTTTTTCATTACAATGCAGCCTTGAATGTTGCGGGGCGGCAAGAAATTGTTGACTCCTTTGCCAGCACGCTTGGCCGCTCATCAGTGCTGTGCAGGTGTCTGATTTTGCTTGTCAGCTGCATGCAGGCATTTGCAGCTAGCAGCTTCTGGCAGCGGTCATTGGACATGTTGTCCCACCTTTGCTACAGGCTCCGGACATGTCAGATAAATCTGCACGGACCCCCTTGCTGGCAATACCTGCCACATGCTTTCTGTGGGGCATGCAAATGCCGGAGGCATGACAAAGGCAATCCTGTTTGGTAGCCCATGGTCGGCAACATTTGCATTTTGAACAATCTTTGCAATCTTCGACACCTGGTGCCAGGCAGCTGGCAGACAGCACAACCTTCAGCACAGCCATGACTGCCTGTTCCTTGGAAAGGCCTCGGCCAGGGGTGCGAGAGGGGATAGAGTCAGCTGGAAGCGCCCAAGTGGGAAAGAAGCTGGAACAAGCTTGCCTTGAAATGCTTGGAAAAGGTGGCCCAGGGCTTTGGTGCTGATGCAGAAACTTCCGTTGGTTCATTTGGACTCTGGGCCTTTCCAAGTATGTATGTGGCAATGTACGAGTACTAGAAGAATCTTGTCTCGAGATGCTTTGTGCACATGGTCTTCATGTAATTTGCCAGTGACAAGGAGTGTGACGTAGTGGCTTTGGGATCAGCCACTGCGTGCATCGGCCTCATTTGTTGGATGGGCATCGCGCGCAGCTTCTTATTACTGTACCTGTTGACCCTTTGAAGATCTTCCAAGCTGAGGTGGGGTCCCATGGCCTGAGGCTTGTCAGCTGCTAGGGAAGCTGCAGGCCAAGCAGGCCCACACGACATGAGCCCAAAAGACAGCCGTTGTGCACCACTGTACAATATCACATTTTTCGAACACTTGCTAAGTACTGGCACAAGGCGCAAGCGAATGTGGTGGCCTGTAGCGCAGTGGTCGCCTCGTGTGAGCATGCGGGAGCTTGGACGAGGGCGCCAGCCGGCAGCATCTTTGCTTGGTACTCATGAAGGGCTTAAACACGGTTGAATACATCGGAGATGCAGCTGAGATGCAGGATCCATGGTTTGCTTCGCATGGAGCTCGACGGCGTGCAGCCGAATGTGCCTGGACTTCGTTTATGCTGATGGCATGTGCTGGATGGCTGATTTTGTGGCGCGGCAGCTGCTGTGACTCTTGCATCTAGTGTCCGCAGTTGTTTCTAACTGGCGTAAACTCAACAGCCTGTATGTGTGCAGATGGTGACATACTCAACAAGCAGCAGATCCTACACTACCGCTATGCTTTGGCGCTCCTCTGCGCAAATGCTGAGCAACTCGGCGTGGACAGAGCCGACATGCCCTCTATGGTCCCCCAAGACCCTACTATTACTATTACTATTACTATTACTATTACTATTACTATTACTACTATCACTATCACTACTATCAGTATTACCACTACTATTACTACTCTTCTCACCCATGTGGGTTACAGAGAAGATCCCAACTCTTACGCCTCCTCTCTGGGCTTACACAAAAGGCGTGCGCAAGGCAGAGATCCTGTCCTCGCCTTGCGGCTTTAGGGCAGCGAACTGTTGATGTCCGAAAACTAGTATTGTTACTGTTACTATTACCGATATTGCTGTTGTTATTCATGTTCTTATTATTGTTATTATTGTTATTGTTATTGGCTCCGCCGGAGTTTAACCACACAACATATGCATACTTGGCCGACCTGTCCGGATGTGGAGGCGTGGCACGAACCACGCATTCGAAGTGTTTCGAGGGCCCGCCCCCAAATACTGCATATACCGCGGATGGCGTTTTCCATGTTCGAGTGCATATGGTAAACAGAGCATCCATGCCCAAACCATAAAAACGTTCGTGCTCTGCAGGCTGCTCCGAGCTGTTAGTCAGAGCCATGAGGCCCAGACGTGCGCAGTTCACGCAGCCTCCAGATTCATGTACAGCCTGAATCTCCGCAGTTGCCACAAGCCCAACCACCTCCTGCGAGCTCTAAACCCGCAACTTAGACTCTTACAAACAAAGCCCAAATATGCACTTCTTCATTCGAAAGCCCTCATTTCCCAAATTCCTGCCGAACAGAATCCCCTGCAAACGGCAGCATTTTTGCAAGCGCACACTTAAACATCCTACTTTATTCGACGTGCTTTTTGAGGAAAGCCCATAGCAGCGTTCTTTGCTGAAATGCTGCGTTTTGCAGAAGATTCTGTGAAGCGCACCGATGAATCGTTACGGTCCGGCGGCCCGTTGTCATTACTACTGTTATTGTTGTTGCCTATAATGAGTATTGTTATGTTGATAAGTCCTACACTCTGCCTGGCAGCGCCTTCTGGCCTTTAGCACAGGCACGTGTATGCGAGATCTTCATCGCACTGCTGCTGCAGGACAGGTGCAGCGCAAGCAATCCCAACTCACGCTTTCATCCTTGGTCAGACTGGTATTTTATAGGTGGATCCAGAACTGTGACGTGCAACTCAGCCCTTGGCGCCCTGGCATCTCGCAGAGGCGAGCAATGGTTGAAGGTGACTTGCCATGCAATTGTGCCTAGGTGCTACAAGGCATGAGCTGGAATTTTACTTCTGCGTTGCTGTTTGTCAGGTCTTCCAGGTCCTGCATGATATGATGCGCTGTGCCATAGAAACTAGCGGAAGCTTGGATGATTCTAGATGGGCAACCTACAGGCCTCTTTCAAGCATGTAATGGGTTCGTTACATGACAGGCCCAGCTATGTTGACAAGTCTGCGTAGCTAGAATGGCTCAATGGCCACACCGCGCACATGTCTGATGCCAAGGAGTGAGTTTCAGCCTGGCGCTGTCCAGTTGCCAGGCTTGGCAAACGCAATCCTTCTGCAAAAGACTTGCGTTCACAGCAGGGCATGGAAGCCTTTTCTCTGTGTGTGGCAGGTTGGGCAGTGGCGGAGGGCTGTCAGCATTCTCCGGTCCATGCACTTGCAGGAACTCCGCCTGAACGAATTCAGTGCCTCAGCAGCATCCGCATGCCTTCACGTCTTGATAAGGCACGCTCATCATGCCTGGCCCGCCAATGACAGTCTGAGCCCATTGTGTCATCAAGCCAAGTTTGCTGGCTCAAGTGCGTATACCAAGAGGGCCACAAAACAATCATTTGCCCCAGATCCGAGATATGATAGACATGTTACACGTCAAGTGTAACTCTGCGAAATGGTGAAGATCGGATGGACTGGTATGAAACTTGACAACTGTGGATCGGATATGCTTGGATATGTGAAGTTCCAAGACGCCAATACGCTTCGAATAATTGAGATGCCTTCCTGTGTGCTCGTAAGGGTTAGAAAGGGGCGATGCAGCACAATCCTTTGAAGCTATCTGTCGTTGCTGCAGATGCTACTGATTGCTAGTGGATACAGTAGTCCTGAAAATATCTCATGTGCTTACTCCAAGCTCCCCACCCAAGTACCGAGAGTCTACAGAACAAGGCCGATCAGCCCCTGATAACACCAAGAAGGAGCTGCATAACAGCGACGTTTAATCGCGCCTATACCCCTGCTTCGAGCACTTGAACCTCACATGCTGATGCATTGCCAGCAGTGACGGCCATGCCCGTGTCTGAAGCGGCTCCCACCAAGCAACAGCATGCCTTGGCGCATGTTTGCTGGCTGACAGCCTTCTTCTTGTGGCACTGCGCGGAGGCGGGTGCATTGCGCGTTTGGGCGACAGCCTAGGGCTCCACTGTCAGCCATTCATGTGAAACAGGCACGAGAGCTGAGATTGAATGGTGGGATAATCTGCAGGCTGCAGACCAAAGCGAATTCTGTCCACAGTGGGCCGCAGCTGGCGAGTGCACTCGCAACGCCGACTACATGCTACAGGCCCCATTAGCAGGGTTCCATGCAGATCTGTGCTGCAAGGATTGGAACGGTCTCGGATTTTGTGATCATTGGCTGAGCCCATGGACGCGTTGGAAAGCTGTGCTGCCCAGGCCTGCCCGACGAGCTGTGGGTCGCCCTCCACAGCATCACAGACACGGGGTCTCGTCAAGAACTCCTTTTACCGGTAAGACTTTGAGTTTGTGTGTCGTGCCTTGCTTTATCGCAGCAGTGGGAGCCCAGACTCATGCAGCCAAGGCCAAGCAGCCCGTCCTTTTGTGCTCAATGGGCTGGTGCTGGCGAATGCCACAAGAATCCGTCCTTCATGCTGAAGGAGTCGACAGTCCAGAGCTGTTCTTTCAAGTTTTTCCGCGGCATTCAGGTGCAGGTACCAATGCCAAGTAACCTTGTCCTCCAGGAATGTGCGAAAGCCTGCGAAGAGCTTGCCAAAGACGGCTCATCGAACCTCTGCAGCACTTGGGCACGCGGTGCCCCGGCTGTAAATAGGTCTTGCGAGTGGCCCCACTGCATTGGAGCATGTTGTTCGTGCAAATGATCATATTGACTACTGACCTTGGCACGTTCAAGCCTTGAGTCCAGATGAGCAGCCTCAAAAGCAAAGCCTGTTTGGCTGCCCTCTTCGTGTTCCGGACGTTGCAGGCGGCGCGTGCGCCCAGAACCCGGACTTCATGGCGTCTGCTTGCAAAGACACATGCAAAGAGCTGGCTGGAGAAGAGGCTTGAGCTGCTTTATTGCAAGGCCATAGGCCCATATCCACGCTGGAATTGGTGACGCGCAAATCCTTGTGCTGCTACAGAGATTAAAACAGCTAAGCTTCATTTTACCGTCTCACAAGCATGCATATGGCTGTCCCTTGCGTGTGGTCCAGACTGCATTGAATCTACAACTTTTAGGTGGGCCGTGCTAATTGCACATGCGGTTGCATGGAACAGTATGTCAGGTGCTTCAGGAATGATAAGACAAATCATGTTCGGCACTGTTTGGGTGCTTCCCTCTTTGTGCAACTTACTCAAAAGTATTGCATCTAGGGGCGCAATGTTTTCCGCCTTTATTATGTTTATGAGTACAGCCCCTCGTGGCCAATGCCAGCTTCTGATCACATGACACCGGACGTGCTTGTAGCAAACAGCTTTGACGAACACATGTGCTACACGTATCATGTGCTGCTGCGCCCATGCAAAAGTTACGAGACCTGCAAGGGCATCCAATACAAGACTCCGCCATGTCACAGTAAGCCACGCCAGTCGAGATGCGGTGTTGGCGACCCTAACTACTTGGTCAACTACTTGCCCTCTGAAACCCGTTTTACCTGGAATTTCAATGTGAATTTGTGCCAGCTGCTTCCGCACGCAAAAGAACGTGCTTGCAGGCACTTTCGCCTCTGCAGCGTGCGGAACAGGCAGAAGCGCTGCTTCCTGCAAGCATGGCTCAGTATGTATTCTTTGGAAACAAGATTCAATACGGTACCCGACTGGTCAGCTTATGCAGCTGAGTGAGATGACACTGAGGTTGACGCAGGCACGGAAAGACATGGACGACATGTGCCCAGGCTGCTTTTTATTTTCCAGCCGAAGTTGGTTCATACGTCAGTCCGACTCAATGCCTCTGAGCCTGAGGCGAGCTTTTCTTGCAGCTTCGAACAAGTTGGCTTTGGAGGAAATGGAGAAGCAGAAGCTTGAACGCCTAACGGTTCAGGCTAATGTATGTGGTACTTCGAAGTTGTAGGGACATTCTTGTTGCCATCTTCGATTCTTGCCGTCATCACCGGTTTGGGCTTGGAGATTCCTTGCCCAGGACAGAGGCCAAGATGAAGAAGGCCGAGCTTGCAAGGCAGGTGGCAGAAGACAGGGAGAAGCAGCTGTGACCAGACAGCAATTCGGAAGAACTGTGATAGTAGTGATACTAATGAGAAATATATAATGATAGGAATAGTACTGCTACCTGCTTTACGTGCTCTTTTTCCGGCATGGTTGGCTCTGGGCTTCAGGCAAGGGGCGCTGGAAGCCGCCAAAGCTCGGACCGCGCTGTTGGAAGAGCAGCTCGCAGCGAACAAGGCGCGAAGCATCGCGACGCCCTGCCGACCCTAGTCTCTGGCCTTCAGTGCTCACAGATGAGAGCCAACAGTTTTGCTTCCAACCTTCAAAATCCTGAAATTCATCCCAGGGGCTGAGTGTTCTAGACCGCGGGTGTTGGTCATGTAGCTTGCCAGGCAATGGATTCGGCGAAGCCAAGCAAGGCTGCAAAACCTGCCACGCCACATCGGCCAAAACCTCCGAAGCTGCCTGCGGCCTCTTGCCATTGCAAGTCCTGACAGACGACCGCCAAGTTGCTATAGGTAACAGCAAGAAGGTTGACAGTAAGTACAGACCGCTGAAGCACTGTTGGCTCTCTAAGGGGTGCATGTGCATCTCAGGATCCAACATGGGAACTTGTCGTCCCTGAAGCCAACGAAACTGCCTGTGAACAAGCCCTTCAGTCGCTTTGTTCTGGCAACCTCGACGGCCAGAAAACTGATTTCAGCCAGGTCTTTGGTGCTTGTCAGCACAGCCTGCCAGAGATTGTGCAGGCCGACCCAAGCGATCCACCACCCGCCTCGTGCCAGGCTGCGGATGTGGATGACAGGAGCACAAAGGGAGGCGAAGCTCAACTCACCGAAGATGAGCAAGAATTGTTGCTGTTCTATTCGGGTCAGATCCGGTGTGGGGGCGATGCTTGTGACGAAGGACTTCTTGTAGCAGTTGCATGGCAACAGGTTCATCACGTTTTCTTTTCTTGCTCGGCCCATGCAACAGACAGCAAATAAGCTCAGATATGTTTCTCGCAAGTTGCATGGCTCAGCTACTCCAGAAGATGCTTAGCAGCAGGGAATTACTCTGGGGCCGTTCCGCCTAGGAGTGGCCGGCTGAGATGCCGAAAATCTGGTTTCACTTCAGATTTACATGATTCTACGTCCTTGTTTGGTGCCCAACAGCGTTGGTATTTACAGAGGCCCGATACTTTTCTCTTCGCCTCTAGCGCGGGGTCCACGTCAGCTTGCGGCCCGCCTGCCACCCCCTCAGCATGAAATCGCTGCCATCAAACTGAACCAAAAGTTGCTGCTGAGCACGGGGTCCATAGCTTTTGCAGCCTGATGGTCCTGCACAGGCTCGACCAACCAGTAGCAGAAGTGGCAGCGTCCTTCGTCGCTTGCAGTGCCGCACATACCGCGCGGAATCGCTGCTCAAGCAAAACGAAGCCGGGGTGGTGCAGTGGTGCTCGGGGGAGGGGTCGCAAACGTTTCTGTGCAGGAGGACTTCCGTCCTTCAGTTTCAGGTCAAAGAGACCCCTGAACCTCTCAGAAAAAGCCAAGGATTGCAGCAGTGCAGCAAGCCCCCCACTGGCAATGCTATGGTCGAAGGGAGAAAGCCCACATCAGCGCTGTCTTGTGGCAGTAACGTTATAAAATCAGTTCATCCTCAAAATGCACCCTGCCTTACGTCGCTGGCGGCCGAACTCCAATACAGCCTCAGCTTGTTGGAGAGTCGTGGGAGGGTTATGGGATGGGTAAGGCGTCGACCGGACGATCAAAAAGCGGCGAGTTGCGTGATATTCATTGTTCTTGTTCTTCATGCATTTGGCGAGATAAATTGAATCAGTGATCCTTGATGCTACAGGGATGCATGACAGGATAAAGCACCCGCCTCATCAGGGAATCTGCTTTATGCCGGGCCAATATTTCCTGTTTTGACCACATGGGGCACATTCACATTCTTGCTTGAAGTTTCTTGAAAGAAGCAATGAGAGCTGCCGAATAGCTGGCACGGTGAGATACAAAAACGCAGCGTTTATGCAGCTGAGGTCTTGAGAGCCGCTTTGCAGCAGTCCTTCCAGCTCCTGCTGGATGGTTTCCTAGTTCTGCTGAACGAGGGCCTCGGAGCTGATCCGGTGAAAGGCCGAGCAGCTGCCGCACAGGCTGCCAAGATCCTACGCAAAGTTCGAGAGCAGCTTCGAGCCAAGGCCAGCGCTAAGTTGAATGTGATCCAAGAGCACATCAAGCAGGAGGAGACCTTTGGGAAAGTTGCAGACTCCGCAGCGGCCCTCCTCGACAAAGCCACACTCTTCAGCGGGACCGCCCGCACACACTTGGAGCTGCTGCTGACAACTGCCAGGTTAAAACTGCCTGAGGAAGATCAGCAATGGCTTCCTGGACACTCTTCCCACACCAGCTTCTTGCGGAATCACCTCCTCGTGGCTGTGTGGCTCGCCTTGCTGGTTCACATCGGCTGCAGGTTGCTAGGCCTGGGCTTGAGAATTGCCTTCCGGAGCTTCGTGGTTTGGCCTTCTCAGTGCTTGTGGATGGTTTGTCGGCGTTTGCTTTGCTGCTTGTGCCCCTGCCGACGGAAGCCAGTCCAAAAGCAGGCTGCACAAGGCGTACATGCCAATGGGCATGCAGAAGGGTATGAGGACAAAAGCCAGGGCGGTGCGCAGTGGATCTGCAAACATGTATAGTTAGCCAGGTGCGCAGGAATCATGAGTCTGGGCTCGTAGATTTGGGAACCGTGCCCCGAAATAGCTAAATGCTCAGAACGCTCAACAGCAATGCTGGTGGAAGCAAGGTGCCAGCACTGCCATCCAATCCCTGGTGAGCGCCACTCCACAGGCCAGGCAGCCTTGGCTTCTTTGCAGAACTGACTTTCTTCGTGTTCCTGCCAGGGAGCGGTGTGGCGTGCTACACTTGCGACTTTGAGCTCATCGCCTGCACTGCTTTTGTCAATCTCTCATGCTGTGATAAACTCTATAGGGTTAGCATCCGCAAACGATATCACGTGGCGCATGCAGCGTGCAGGCAGATTAGAATTGACCTCCGCTGGACTTGACCGCTTCTGCTTCAACGCTGTGCTTAGCGCTCCGAGCCTGCATACCCGCATGTGTTTCGGTCATTCTTTGGCAATTACCTGTTGGTTCATTCAGCACACCCTGCAACGGAGATCGTGAGCTAGGTGTGCGAGCCACGTGCTGCCTGGACTCTCGCCCTGCGCCTCTTCGATGGTTTTCGGGCGCGGAGGTCTGCAGCTCAGCAGCTCTGTTGAGCTGCATCGGTCTGTTGACGTTTTGACGACTTAATTTGCCTGTTGCTCGTGCAAACTTGCTGAATTTCCCTGTGTTTCAACTTTGGGCGAGGTTTCAGCCGGATGAAGTCAGCCGCCATCCTAAAGCGATTGATGTTTTGAGTTTGTCCTCTTAATTCCTTGAGAATCCTGCAAGCGAAGTTGGTGATTGGCAGCAGCTCTTGGTGCCAAGGCTACACGTCGGTGCTTGCGTCTTTTTCAGGGGCAAGCGCATCTGGCCGCTGGCTGTACGCAGCCGATCTGCTGAGTAGGCCAGTACTAGCACTGGATCTTTGCTGACAATAATTCATGCTGTCCACTTAGCGCAGCTCACTGCACCATCCTAAAGGCGTACAAGTTTTGCCAAGCCAGCCTAGACCACTTTCTGAAGAAGCCACGTCAGACCTTGGGGCTGTCGATTCTGGCCATGTTGTCAGCAATGCCCAACCCGTTGCATTCTGCTGCAGGATGGCTGCAGCTTGGATTGCCTGGACTGCGCTTGCCTCGGACCTTGGAAGGAGCAGCGCAGAATCCTAAGTATACTTTATTAGACTCGTTCTGCCTTTTTCCCGTTTGTAAACCAGCTCAGGATGAGGCGGCCATAGCAGCAACAGCGGCCTCAGCGCAGTGCACGCCAACTGGGTGCAAGAGTTTTTACCAGAAGACGCCGAGTGGCCTAGTGTTTGGGTGTACCATGGGTGGACGGGAAAAGCCAGCAGGAGTTCTGTGCATTGACACGTTGCATCCCGACCTGTACTTGTACTTGCGGCAGCCGACAAATCTGAATCTCCAGCTGCACATTTATGCCCACCAGCACTGGCAAAAGCTGAGGCAATGGTCCCACAGCCTGGAGGTCCTTGGCGTTTTGAAGCACAGGATTGCCCAGGCGGACGGTGGAACTCCCTGGTGTCAAGGGGCGCGTGACCTGAAAGCAACCTGCACGACTACAACCGTTTTGAAGGATCAAACCTTTCAACCGTTCGTGCGTCGAAAGTATCATGTGATTAAAAGGCACAAATTGTAGTTCAAACCTGTCTGATGGACATTGTGCCTGGGATTGCCCAAGGATGTGGGGACTTAGACAGCTTCGTCAGCCTCATAGTCATATCGCATTGTAACTGCCAGGGATCTGCAGCAGCTGCAGTTGTGGCCGCATGCACGGCTGCCGGGACACTGGGCCGCCTGTTTATGCTCTTGCACTCTCTGGCACTGCAAAAACTTCACTGCTTGGTGTTGTGACCGACTCTGTGGAATCCTGTGAGGAAGCCGCTGCCAGCTGCAGCAGTGCTGACAGAATTAGATCAACGCTTGTCTGGAAGCTTTCCACGTTGGAGCAGCAAATCAGCTACGCCAAAGTGCCCAACAGCCAGAAAAAGTACACATTGAGCAGCTGCTGCGTTTGCCGGAGAATTATGATTACTTTCGCGGATTTTCGGGGCTGACTGTTTCCACCAAGAGTTCATTCATTGGCTTCAGATTTATCCTGAACTTCAGGGAAACCGACAGGATTCCTCACAGATCCTAGGGACCCCCAACTGCGATTTCATCATACTCAAGGCCTTTTGACATCGCACAGTTCCGAGCAGTGGCATGACATGCAACTCTGCATATTGCAGAGGAGCCTCCTCAACAGATCTCCATGGGCCCGCTCGGATAGCAAAGCAACATTGGTCCGCCAGCTTGGAAAGGCTTTCCCGAACCGTGGCTGGTTCATGTTGACCATTGCTGCCATGACCAACTTGCTGCCACGAGCTTCTGGTGAGGGGAGTAGGATGGGTGTGGCCGCTTACTGTGCGCCACCATCCTGGTAGCAGCCCCAGGTTAATATGGGCTGTGCTTGGCCTGCGCATGGCATGCCTAAAGCAATTGCTAGCGTGGTGGATTTTTCGCAAGGAAGTAGAAGCCATCTCCAGTTCAAGCGGGCTGCAATTTCTATGTGGCAGGTGATGCTGCTGCTGAGGAGGGCCGGTCTTCGTCAGAGCCCTGTCCCAGTGAAGCTTCAACCCACGGCTGCGAATCAAAAAGACTGGGTTTGTTACAGGCTTGGGCGGCCCGCTCGCGACAGGCTTGTAGTAGTATCTCCTAGCTCGCGACAAGCGCCTTTGTGACAAGGTTCTTTTGTGGGGCATAGATGTGCCAAGCATGCGCACAAGGAACTGAACTCAACAAAGGGCTATGTAACGTGGGGGGGGGGTATTCTTGATCACGGCCGGTTTGGGGTCATATAATCTCTTCCCCTAAAAATCACTCCCCCCAAACCCCTAATAACAAACCCTCCCATATATCAACATGACATCTTCGGTGGAAATTGTGTTTTAGTGGGTTGCTGTGAAGGAACTTAAATTAAGGTACTATATTGGGGAACCCTTTTATTTACTATATATACCCATTATAGTAACTTAATTTAAGTTCCTTAACAGCAACCCTAAACCCTAAAACCCTAAACCCTAAAACCCTAAACCCTAAACCCTAAAAACCCTAAAACCCTAAACCCTAAACCCCTAAACCCCTAAAACTGGAGTCTTCGGTTTAGTTAGGCTCTAGGGCTGAT